TTGTTCATCCTTTTTGGTCCTTTTCTGTTCTTCCTGGATACCTCATTCACAGTCTTCAACCTCACCCTAATGAAGACGTACTAGTGGTGTACTGGGTCAAGCATTGGATCCTTATGACTCCCATATCTCTAGATCCATATTTCCAAGCGTCTACTAGATATCTTTGCCTGGATGGCCTGCAGGCATCTCAAATTTAGAATGCCGAAGACTTATCTTTTCTTTCCAACTCTTTCAGAACCTCCTCTCCCTCCCCTTATCTTAGGGAGTGGTGCCATTATCCACCCAGGAACCCAAGCCAGAAACCTGGGTATCATTCTCCATTGCTCCTTCTTTACTTCCAATGAATTGTTAAATTAAATTATTTTAATTTTGCTCTAGAATGTCTCTACAATCCATCTTCTCCTCTCTAATCTCCCTGTCACAACCTTTACCTAAGTGCTCATCATCTTCCCAATGGATATCAAAAAATAGCATCTTAGCAGGTCTTCACTATTAGGAGACTCTCTCTTTTATGATTCTTTCTTTAGAGCAGAAGGCATAGATTCTTAGAAATTATACCATCTATAAAAGTTTTTAAAATGGTTTTTTAAGAACTGACAGAGTATTGCCCTTTTTAAAATTTTGTTAAGCTAGAAAAAACAAACATCACTTATTCTCACTGTCATTTAATAACTAAAAAACACCCACTGCTGAATTGCAAAAAGAACATACTCTGAGAACAGAAAGGATTTCTTTAAATGTATTTGGCTGCTTTAACAAAGCATACTATACTGGATGAGAACTACTGCTCTAAATCTACACTGTCATTAGCACGATCTTTTACAAAGCATGTCATTCCCCAGCTTCAATATTGCTTTATTTATTATATAGACAATTTAATACATTCATATAATTTACATGAAAATCATTTTACTTTTTAATGATGACATATTACTCATTATATTGACATGCTATAGATAGCTGCTGTTATCTTCTATTATTAACAATTTGAGCCATATGTGAATGTTTAATATAAAAAATTAAATATCTGGTGCTTCATATTACCTCAAGCACCAAGAATACTAAACACCATGTTCTTTAGGGTAACCTGTTGTTGTTATTGGTAGGTACTGTCTAGTTGGTTCCAACTCAATGAACCTGTATAGAGCTTCTGAGGTGAAGCTGGTGGTTTGAAACTCCAACTTTGCAGTTGGCTGTCCAATGTAACAGAGGTCCATGGTAACATAGAAGATCCTATATAATCTGGTTCCAAATTGCTTGTTGTTGTTGTTAAGTGCTGGGCCTTTGTTTTGGTTCATAGCAAACTTGTATAGGGGTTCCAAGGAGCAGATGGTGAGTTTGAACTACCAACCTGCGGTTCAAACTTACATTGTGGTCAAGCTCATTAACCCACACCACAACATCAGAACTCCTCAGCCTAAACCCTACCATAAGCATGACACACTCTTTCTTGCCCCTGTGTCAGTGGTGCCCAAACAGCAGCACTTTTACTTACCATTCCCATCATCTCTTGTCCTGTTTACCCCAGTCCATGGATTTATTTGATAATGTCTAGAAATACTTTTGGTTCTCACAACTGGGTGGGAGGATGGAATCAAGTGACTACAAATCAGCAGTGCTGTTAAAATGCACAACATAGCCCCTATAACAAAAATGTATTCAGCTCTTACTGACTGCTCTGAAAGGGATCATGTTAGAAGGTTTTGGAGAGAGTGGGAGAAAATGTGGAACAAAAATCAAAATAATAAAACACACCAGGCTCAGTGGTCAGAAAGAGTCTAGAGGAACATCGAGACTATGGCCCTTGGTTACCCTTATGGTCTGGAACTGAACACACCCTTGTGGCCCAATTTTCAACCAAGCAGTACAAAGGTATATAGCGGGAACAACAATGCACATTACAGAATGGTTAAGGCATAACATAGTCCACAAAGACAACAATTTACATCCTTCTTGGTTGAGTAGCATCTGGTATCTTCAAAGCTCATGAGAGGTCGTCTAAGATGCAGCTATTGGTCTTTCCATGTGTGGAAGACAGAAGATCGTTAAGAAATGAAGAGGCTTAGAATCAGTGGACTAATGGAATGTGTGAACATCAGTCTCCACAACTTTGAAAACAGAACTAAATGGTGCCCGGCTACCACTACCAATGGCTCTGAAAGGGATCACATTAGAGGGTCGTAGATAGAGTGGGAGAAAACGTGAAACAAAACTCAAAATAATTCAATTGTAATTTTAAAAATAAAAATAAAAAATATCAGGTTTACTGGGCAGAAAGAGGTTAGAGAAACCTCAGACTATGGCTCTCGACCACCCTTCAGGTCTGGAAAGAATGTCACCCTTGTGGCCCAATTTTCAGCCAAGCAATGGATTAAGTTTATAGAGGGGGACACCAACACTAGTAAGGTATGCACATCAGGGAATCATTCACACACAACAGGGCATCATTTTCTTAAGGACAAAGTTGAGAAGGGATAGGAAGTGGGTAGAACGCAAATATGAACCACAGGGTGGAAGTGGGATAACTGTTGTTGCATGGAGGTAATCATTGAGATGAAACAGAGTGTATGATTTACTGAATGTAAAGCTGATGATCTTGTCTATAAACCTTTACTCAATTCACAATAAAAAAAAATAAAATAAAGATGAACAACCTTTCAAGATCAAAAGGGAAGGATATACCTAAGAGCAAAATTTTGAAAAGTTGGCAAAAAGGAAGCATGGAAACACAAAGAGAAAGTGGATCTGTGATGATCCACTAAGGAGACTGCAATCATTGAGACGACATGAAGTGTATGATTTGTTCAATGTAAACTTGATGATCTGCTCTTTAAACCTCCATTCAATTCACTATAAAAAGTTTCAAAAATATTGAGCTCAAAATGTCAATAGTACCAAGGTGAGAAACTCTGTGCTAAGTACTCTTATGCATTGCAGACATCTCTTCCTGGAATGTCCTTCCCCGCTTCTACTTGTTATAGTTAGATGCCATCGAGTCAGTACTGATTCATAGTGACCTTATTAACAACAGAATGAAACATTGCCTGGTCCTGGGCCAACCTCATTATTGTTGCCACACTTGAGCCCATTGTTGCTGCCACTTTGCCCATCCATTTTGCTGGTGATCTTCTTCTTTTTCTCTGACCCTCCACCTCACCAAACATGATATTCTTCTCCAGCGACTGGTCCCTCCTGACAATATGTCAGAAATATGACAGATGAAGTTTGGTCATCTTGGCCTCCAAAGAGCATTCTGGATGCACTTCTTCCAACACAGATCTGTTGGTTCTTTTGGCAACACATGGCACTTTCAATATTCTCCTCCAACACCATAACTCAAAAGCATCAATTCTTCTATGGTCTTCCTTATTCACTGTCCAGCTTTCACATGCAAATGAGGTTATTGAAAATACCATGGCTTGGATCAGGCACACCTTAATCTTCAAGTTGACATCTTTGCTCAACATTTTAAAAAGGTCTTGTGCAGCAGATCTGCCTAATGCAATATATGTCATTTGATTTCTTAACTCCAAGACGAATGAAGTCCTTGACAACTTCAATTTTTTCTCCATTGATAAGAATGTTGTTTATTGGTCCAGTGGTGAGGATTTTAATTTTCTTTACATTCAGATGCAATCCATACCAAAGACTGTGCTCTTTGATCTTCATTAGTAAATGTTTTAAGTCCTCTTCACTTTCAGCAAGCAAGGTTGTATCATCTGCATATCACAGGTTGTTAATAAATCTTCCTCCAATCCCGATGCCACGGTTTTCTTCATAGAACCCAGCTTCTCAGATTATTTGCTCAGCATACATGTTGAATAAGTATGGTGAAAGAATACAACCTTGTCGCACACCTTTCTTAATTTTAAAGCATTCAGTGTTCCCATGTTCTGTTCGAACAACTGCGTCTTGGTCCAGGTACAGATTCCTCATGAGCACAATTAAGTGTTCCGGAATACTCACACTTGGCAATGTTGTCCATAGCTTGTCATGATCCACACAACCGAAAGCTTTTGCGTAGTCAATAAAGCACAGGTAAACAGATCACTTGGGTCATACTAAATCTCAAACTGCAATTTGAACATGGGGTTTCCTCATTAAGGGTGTGTGAGTGTGGTGCGGGCGGGGGTAAGAATGGCAAAATAAACTGTTGACGTCATACGTCAAAAAAAAAGATACAAGAAAATGAGAAATTTCTGCGTGTTGGATTTTGCAGTAGTGAGTGAGCATAGTGGTGGCTGGTAGGTGGAACATCAGAAAGAAAAGATGGGTGAGAAGAGCCGCAGGTCGTATAACCTGGGTCCTGCAGGGGCAGAACCTGAATCTTTAATCTAACAACTCGTGAAGAATTGGAAGGCTAGAGCAGCATGAGGGGGTCTCATCTTAAACCCAGCAGAGTTTAGAACTCCTGCAATTAACTTTAAATTACAGCTTTTATAATTATCTCCAGAGCTTGGTATGCCTCGCTGTGAGCCGTGATCGTGAATATAAACTCAGTCAAAGTAAAATAAAAGAGTGTGTACACGCCAATACGTTTTGCCTCCCTCTACTTTGTGTGCACTTTCTAAAGCGCTAACAGAACACTGGTCCCTTACCAGCAGAATACACTCTCCCTCTTTTGGGCTTCACATCTCCACAGGGCAGGCAAAGGCTTTGCCAGCTCATTATGGAGTGAAGGATTCCCTTTCACCTGGACGTTAAGAGGGCCGATTTGCCCGGCGGATGTCTAAGGCACAGGACAAGGCGGGTACCCAGGCTAGGCCCAACCAATTGCGGCCTGACCTGCTGGGACCCCACGCCAAGCACCGCGTGCGCCACGAGGCGAGCCAGGCACACCCCACCCCCCCGCGCGCTCGCTGCGTCCAAGTCCTCCATTGTCCCAGCATTCCCTGCGCCCCTACCATTGAGAGCAGCTTCCGGAATCTCTGATTTAGCTGGGTGACGAAGGAGCGGGCCCTTGCCGCTCTGTCTCACTCTCTCGCGCTCTCTCAGGCAACATGGCGGGTGTGGCGGAGGCAGCGACCTCCGGGGGCCACCTGAATGGCGACTTGGACCCGGACGACAGGGAGGAGGGCGCTGCCTCTATGAATGAGGAGGCAACGAAGAAAAAAAGACGGAAGAAGAAGAAGAGTAAAGGGTCAGCTGCAGGTAAAGAGTTTGATATTTTCCCGGTTCCAAGCAGGGGTGGCCGAAAGGCTCAGGCTCAGGCCCAGCACGGGTGGCAAGGACCCAGCATCTGGAGCTTAGGGCTGGGCTTACTTTCGAATCTGAGGAGGTGTGGTAAGGCATGTCCTACCGAATCTCGGTCCGGGAGAGAGGTATCTTCCTGGTGGCCCTGGAGGGTTGGGGGCGGGGGTGAGGTGGGGGAAGAAAAGAGTGCTCCAGCTTCCCTTGTGGTGGCTCTAGGGTCTCTGGGCCCGAGCCCCGTATTGCCAGGACTCAGCTCCCACGCAAACCCAGAAAAAACTCGAAGTCGTGCCCAGGGTCTTACTACCTTTTGAGGTTTGGCAGTCTCCTTAAAAATCCGATTCTGACCCGTTCTGCTGTCTCTTTGCTCATTTTCATTGAGAGTTGGGGTGGGGTTGGCAAGTCTTATGTCTTAACCTCTCCCCAGCACCCCAGGTCACTTAGAGGCTTTAGTTGCTGGCTGCGCTTTGCGTGTGCATGTGTGCATGCGTGTTGCGCTCGCGCATTCTTGTCACTGTATAGGAATTGCCGAATATGTATTTGGTGGTGGTGCGAATATTCACCTAATATCACAGCATCGTCAAACCTCAAACCTTGGAAACTTAGCGCTTAGGGAGCAGTCCAGATAGTAGAGTATATTTTGTGGCACTGAATGGGATATCTCGGGCTGTAAGTTCTAAATCACTCATGAGGCAAAGAAAACACAGCTAAAAGTTTACAATTGGGTTGATAAGTCAGTGTTTTTGTTGCACAAGGTCCTTTATTGTAAGTTCAAAAAAGACAATAAACAAAACAAAAAAAAAACCTCCAAAAGGTTTCTCATTAAAATCAGCCAGAGAAAGGAGGGAAATCGTTGAGACCAGAAATGATAAATGTGGAGGTGAGATACATGGAGAAGCTAATCTGCTTCTTTCAGAAGTTTGGAGGAGATGATCAGTTTAGGGTGGGTGGGAGTGGAGGAAGGAGAGTTGCAGTGTTGTAGAGCAAAATTTAACTTTAGGACACAGTTTGTTGGCTGTTCCTGACTTTAAGGTGAAATCCAAATGCTACAGTTTGTCCTGTAAGGTCTTCAACAGGCTGATCCTAATATATTGTCAACAGTTTTGTGGCACTGTGGGTTAATGTGCCAGACAGCAGAGTCCTTTGAACTACAAGGCTGGTGGTTCCAGCTCACCAGCTGCTCCTTGGAAACCCTATACAGGGTTGCTATGGGTCAGAACCGACTGGACAGCATTTAACAACAACATCTTAATATGAATTTTCTACAGTAGCCAGAATGTGACATTTTATGAGCTACCTGGTATTGACACAGTGGTAGCAACTTGGGGCTCGAGTGTAATGACCATTGTGAGGATGGTGCGGGACTGGGCAGGGTTTTGTTCTGTTGTGCAGAGGGTCACTGTGAGTCAGAACCGACTCAGCGGCACCTAACAACAACCTGTATTGGCTCTTTCTGTGCGAACACTTCAAAAAGTTTGTGGGAAAATGGAGTTAAAAGGTGGAATTATTCTGTAAACTTTTGAAGTCCCCTTATATTGCTTCTACAACTATATTGTAATTACTTCCAGGGCAGGGACTTGGTCTTGTGCTTAAATGTTCAAGAATTTAAAAAAAATTCTTTAGTAGTAGAATAGCTTTTCTTATGTTGATTTGAAAGGCTTTCTTGATAGCTCTTTTTTCAAAGAAGTTCTGAATTTTCCAGGTATCATGTGAATCCCATTCTTACTAAGGCCTTTAGCCTCTCTTGTCTACCTTAAGTACTTGTTTGGTAATTAAACTATTTGTAGTAGTCTAATTGTTGAAGCACTTTAAAAAGTTAAGTTGCTTAAGCATAGGGACCAACTTCCACGCTTTTGTTTGTAGCTATTTGCACAGTTGGCAGTGGATGTTTTTGAATGAATTAAGGAATGAGCAATCTTACTTAGGGATTGAAGATTTTTTAAAAATGTCTTTAAACAAATTTTGTTGTGGTGTCTTATGGCACAAATGGTTTGCTCTCAGTTACTAACCAAAAGGTTGGCAGTTTGAACCCACCCAGCAGTATTGTGGAGGAAAGACCTGATGATCCGCTTCTAAAATTACAGCCAGCGAAGCTCAGTTCTCACCACTTGTAGGATAGCAGTTGACTTGATAGCAGTGAGTTTGGTTTTATTTTTTACATTCAGCTTTTGGCACACTTATAAGAAAGGAGGTTGTCTTGTGTTTTCCAGGATGCTTCTAACATACTCTAGTGAGATAGTATCTTTATTAAATTTTACTTATTTATTTATTTTTCTGATTAACAGGACAAGAAACTGATAAAGAATCAGGAGCCTCAGTTGATGAGGTAGCAAGACAATTGGAAAGACAAGCACTAGAAGAGAAAGAAAGAGATGATGATGATGAAGGTAAGTGACCAATTTGATCTTTGTGATAGAAAAGCTAAAAATATTCTTTATGTGGAATCTACTTCTTTGTGCACAGAGTGTATTCTTCTGACTTTTCACTTGTTAAAACCCCAATTAATGCCACAGATAAAAAGGAGAATGTATGTATTGTTGTTGTTAGGTGTTGCGTTTGACTCACAAGCATTCTGTGCACAAGAAAAAACATTGCCTGGTCCTGTGCCACCTTCACAACTATTACACTTGAGCCCTTGCTGCTGTCATGTCATTGGGGTCTTCCTCTTTTACTGTGACCCTCTAATTTACCAAGCATAATGTCTTTATCCACTCACTGGTCCCTCCTGAGAATATGTCCAAAGTATGAGAGACAAAGTTTCACCATCCTTGCCTCCAGGGAGCATTCTGGCTGTACCTCTCCCAACACTGTATTTGCTAGCAATACTTTAAAAAGTTGGATATGTTGAATCGCTACTCAGATAACACAGACTTCACCTCTTTAAAAATTAGTTGGTAGAAGGCCAACCAAGTGGTGGCTGAACTCCTACATAAAATTGAGGTTCTGTTTATATAACATTTATTGAACAACTAGTATGTACTAGGTACCATCCTAGGATATTTTCACGTACATTCTCACCTTACAGATCAGGAAATGGAAGTTATATTATTTTATGTGACACAGCTACTGAGTGTGAAATAAAGCCAGAATTTCAAACCTAAGGCCTAATTCTAAGTCCATTCCTTTTACGCTCTATACCAAAGCTATTTGATTCACAAAGGAGCAAATTGGAGTGCTTGTGAGCTCCATGACTCTAGCTTCTTGTGATATTTTGGTGCTTTAAGATTTATTTTAAGAAAGCAACTGTTGGAATTCTGTAAGAAGGTGGTTGTTATTGTTGTTATCAAATGCCATTGAGTCGATTCTGACCCATAGCAACCCTGTATAGGGTTTCCAAGGAGCAGCTGGTGAACTTAAACCACTGACCTTTGCAGTTCAAATGGCTTTGCAGGCACGTTAACCCACAGCGCCACACCAAGACTGTAAGAAGGTTGTTGTTGTTGTTGTTAAGTGCCGTCGAGTCGGTTCCGACCCATAGCGAGAAGGTAGAGGGAGAGAAAATTAAGTCTGAGAACTATTAGTATGCTACAATCCCTTTTGGCAGAGAGGGTGATAGGACTTTCCCATTCTTGAAATATATAATTATCTACTGTTACAGCTTCTTGCTCTGTCTTAAACAGAAAATCCCTGCTAGCCTGGGAGTCTGCCTTTCAAGCATTAGCAACAAATCCTTGTACTTTAAATGTTGTATTGGGGAAATCAGAGCAGTTGGTTCTTTTTCTTTGGGAGAGATATGTTCTCTGACTTCCAGAAGCTTGCAGTCTAAATGTGGTGAAGTGCCAAGATTCAAAGGAATAGTTGACTTTTTCTTTTACTTAAGCACTAGGCACAAATCAAAAGATCAGCAGATCAAATCCACCATCTGCTCCTCAGAAACGATACAGGGTCACTATGAGTTGGAATTGACTCGACAGCACTCAACAACATTCTACCTTGGTTTGTGCATCAGATTCTGAACATATTTTGAGGTCGTGGCTCTGTGGACTGATGCATCAGACTGCATAAGTCGTTTGAACTGCAAGGTCAGTGGTTCAAGCTCACCAGCTGCTCCTTGGAAACCCTATATAGGGTCACTATGGGTCGGAATCGACTCGACAGCACCTAACAACAACAACAACAAGAAATGCTTTAAATAAAATGTAATGTCATTGGCTACTTGTAGACCCAGTATGTGAAGACTATCACACTGTTGTTCCTTGTGTCTTTACAAAATTATATGACTCTTTTGCCATTGAAGGGGAAATTTTTGCTTGCCAGAATTTTAGGAATATTTGAATTATGGTGTTCGACTAGACTATTAAAAATACTACAGACTACCAGAAGAACAAACAAATCTGTGTTGGAAGAAGAATAGCCAAAATGCTCCTTAGAGGCCAGGATGATGAGACTTCATCTCTCCTACTTCAGACATACCAAGAGGGACCAGTTCCTGGAGAAGGACTTCATGTTTGGCAAAACAGAGGGTCAGTGAAAAAGAGGAAGATCAGATCCCCATTGAGATAGATTGGCCCAGTGACAGCAGCAGTGGGCTCAAGCATAACAACAACTGTGAGGATGACACGGGACCCTGGCCAGTGTTTCATCTGTTGAGCATATGGGGTCACTGTTAGTTGGAATGGACTCAACAGCACTTAGCAACAAATTCAGTAGTTTTGACTGATCCATTTCCTAATGCATCTTGCTATTCTGGATCAACCAAAACTTTTGTGAGACCTTTTTGAAAGGATGGAAGGATAGTATTTCAGAATAATTTTCCTAAAGGAGCTGATAGTGTGGAGAAACAAAACATAAACATGAAAAGGAATATCATTACCTAACTGCAATAAGGTTTATAGAAATATGGAGGTGAAATTGTGGGCTTAATGATGAAGAGAAGTTCATTAGAAGGAATGGGACTTGAAAAAATCCAAATAGAAAAGACCACTTTGGGGTGAAACAATGCTGATGAAGTATTCGAAGCATAGTGAATTGTACAAACTGGCTGTATTTGGTGATTCACTGAGAGAGCCTTTGAGCATTTTTTAGAATAGAATGTTAGGAAAACACTAATTTAAATCTTTGTATATACTCGGATACCGGGTTGTTTAGAGGAGAGGAATGGTATACAAAAACGCTATTAATCTAGACATGTGATGATAAAGGTTTATGTTGGTGATCATAAGTGATATGGAAAGTAAACTTTGCTTAAAATTTTATTCCCCTTTAAGGGTATACTTTAATGAGTTTTGACAAATCTATAAAGGTGTTCAAAAAGCTCATGGAAAAAGGGAATTAAAAGATAGTGGAATTTTCCCGTGAACTTTTTGAAGCCACATTATATACAATTATATAGTCATCACCAAAACAAGCATATAGATAGTTTCTATTTAGCATCATGTTTTTATTTGCCTTCTACAAAAGTCCTCAGCACTGGACCAATAAACAACATTCTTATCAATGGAGAAAAAATTGAAGTTGTCAAGGACTTCATTCTTCTTGGATCACCTATCAACACTCAGAGAAGCAGTAGTCAAGAAATCATACGATTAGGCACATCTGCTACACAAGACCTTTTTAAAGTGTTGAAGAGCAAAGATGTCAGCTTGAAGACTAAGGTGTGCCTGAACCAAGCAATGGTGTTTTCAATAACCTCATATGCGTGTGAAAGCTAGACAGTGAATAAGGAAGACCATAGAAGAATTGATGCTTTTGAGTGATGGTGTTGGAGGAGAATATTAGAAGTGCAGCCAGAGTGCTCCATGGAGGCCAAGATGGCCAAATTTCGTCTCTCATACTTCAGACATATTGTCAGGAGGGACCAGTTGCTGGAGAAGGACATCATGTTTGGTAAGGTGGAGGGTCAGAGAAAAAGAGGAAGACCCCCAACAAAATGGATTGGTCAAGTGGTAGCATCGATGGACTCAAGTGTGGCAACGGTAGTGAGGTTGGCCCAGGATCAGGCAGTGTTTCTTTCTGCTGTGCATAAGTTCACTATGAGTTGGTACCTACTTGATGGCACCTAACAACAACATAGATCTTTGGTGAAGTGTTAACAATCTTTTGTTCATTTGTTTCTTGGATTGTTTGAATTGTTGTAAGAGTTCTTTATATATTCTGGCTATAAACTTAATCAGTTAATATGTTCTACCATATTTTCTTTCATGTTCTTAAAATATTTCCTTCTAAGCTGTAGCTTGTCTTCATGTTTTTTTTTAAACACTAGAAATGTAAAATTTTGTTAAGTCCAGTTTATCAAATTTTTCTGTATGGGTCATATTTTTGTGTGTGTTTTCTAAAAAAAATAAATCATTGATTATCTGCAAATAAATCATGGATTTTTCCTCTCATGTTCTCTTCAAGAAGTGTTATATATTTTTAGCTGTTATATCTAGACATGTGGTCCATTCTTTAATTGGTTTCTGAATGGAGTCAAAGGTAAGGGTTGAGGTTTTTGTTTTTTCTTTTTTCTTTTCCATTTATGGATGCCCAGTTGTTTTTCAGTTGATTTGGGTAAAGTGCTAAACATTTGCAGTGTACGGAAATAAGTATGAACAGTCTCTCCCTGTTAAGACTCCCAGTGTGCTGTGGAAGATAGAAATAGTAAAAACATAAATTGCAGCATACTGCAATGGGGTAGAATGAGTATAAGCATATGTACCTTAATGTTCAGATTATGGCTTTACCACTTACTAACTTTGTAAATGATTTGACCTTTTAGTTTCTTTCTGTCTTTACTATTGTTGTTAAGTGTCATGGAGTCAGTTATAGAGCTGTAAAACATTGTAGGAGCAAAGTCTCACTTTTCCTCCTATAAAGCAGCCTTTGGAGGAGCTGGTGAACTCAAACCATAGACCTTGTGGTTCCCAGTCCAGTGTTTATTCCACAGAGCCACCACTCTCCTCTTCTGTTTTGTTGTTGTTAAGTGCTATTGAGTCGGTTCTGGTGAGTTTGAACCACTGACCTTGCAGACCTGTGTTTATCCTACAGTGCCACTTTTGTTTATTCCCCTACACAAAGAGGCATATTAGTATCCTGTAAAGATGGAACCCTGGTGGTGCTATATTTGGCATTTGTTGTTGTTATGTTCCATGGAGTCGGTTCCGACTCATAGCGACCCTCTACAGGGTTTCCAGGACTATAAATCTTTACAGGAGCAGAAAGCCTCATCTTTCTCCTGCAGAACAGCTGATAGTTTCAAACTGCTGACCTTGCGGCTCGCAGTCTGATTTGTAACCACTACGCTAACAGAGCTCCTTATGTTAGGCACTAGGCTGCTAATTATAAGGTTAGTGTTTCAAACCTATCACCTGCTTTGTGAGAAAAAGATGAGATTTTGTTCCTGTAAAGATGTAGTCTTGGAAAAACTCTTTATAGGGGTTGCTAGGAGTCTTGGTGTGGCACTGTGAGTTAATATGCCAGACTGCAAAGTCATTTGAACTGCAAGATTGGCATTTCAAGCTCACCAGCTGTTTGGTGGAAACCCTATACAGTGTTGCTATGAGTCAGAACCTAACAACAACAGTGAATCAATCAGCTAGATGGCAATGGGTTTGGTTTGGTTTTTAGTGATGGTGTGAGGGTGAGTAAAGCACTCAGTACCATCTTGGCACAAAGAGTTCAAGAAATTATGACTGTTGTTCTGTTCTGAGCAGACCTTAGACATTGGTTAAAGTAAATCGTATCAGGAGGATAGAATATTAAAGGAATATTATATGGCACTGAGAACATGGCATCAAGATTGAAGTAAAACTCATTAACAACTGCAGTATGCAGATGATAAGCCTTGCTTGCTGAAAGCAAAGAGGACTTAACATTCTGATGAACATTCTCTACCTGTTGAAGATCAAAGTATGGAAGAAAACAAAAATGTAAAGAATATGAAAAATCCTCACTACTGGATCAACAAATAGCATGATAAATGGAGAAAAGATTGAAGCTGTCTCAGATTTCATTATGCTTGGATCCAATATCAACATTCATGGGAGTGCAGTCAAAAAATCAAACAATGTATTATTGCACTAGGCAGTTCTGTTTCACAAGACTTCTTTAAAATGTACAACAGCAAATGTAACGGTTTGAGAACTAAGGTGTATCTGGCCAAAGCCATGGTATTTTCAATAGTCTCATATGTATATGAAAGTATAGCCAGGATGCTAAGACTTTGTCTCTCATACTTCCGACATATTACCAAGAGGAACCAGTGCCATTCCAGTACTCCATGATAAATATAATAGAAGAATATACTAGTGAGAGCATTTTCTTTTATGGTTCCTGTTAATCTTTAAAATTCATGTGAATATTGCATTCTAGTCATGATACATACACATGCCTTCTGTATGTAGTTTGACTAAAAAATAATAGGGATCAGTATGTGCCCATTTCACATTTACTTTGAACCAGAAGGAGAGCTTTTTCACTGATACAAAACTCTGCAGCAAAAGAAATTTGATGAGATTTAAAATATCCTTTCATGAAAAATCAGGAATACTGCAATAGGAGTCCGATGGCATAGATTCTTGTTTGAGTTCTGTCATTAACTGGTTTGGATATTAGAGTAAGCCAAAGTAAAGTTTGTTAGTGCTTTGAATTACAGGGTCAAATTCTGATACTTAAAGCTAATAATCTACTAAATTATTTTCTAATAGCATTGGGTCAACTCTGTCTTAATGCTGTTTAAGATGCTTTGTGTGTGTGTGTGCATACTTATACATGTGTGTATACTTTTAAATTTATACATGAAATTGTCTTTTTAGATGGAGATGGTGATGGAGATGGAGCAACTGGCAAGAAAAAGAAAAAGAAGAAGAAGAAGAAAGGACGTTAGTGTCTTAAGTTGTTCTTAACTTGATAAGTTATAAATGGCTGCTAACTGACAGATTTGTAGAATTGGTTTAAAATTGCTTAAGATCTGGCATAAATGAGGGAATAAACCTGAACTTTAATAGAGTTAGAATTCATATTCAGTAAAATTCATAACTATTTAGCAAATCATTCAGTTTAGCAATCTCGATGGTATTTTCTTTCTTTCAGCTAAGGGATTTAATATAGGTTGTTGTTGTTAAGTACCGAGGAGTTGGTTCCTACTCATAGTGACCCTGCGCAGGGTTTCCGAGGCTGTAAATCTTTACAGGAGCAGAACACCTCATCTTTCTCCCGTGGAACAGCTGGTAGTTTTGAACTGCTGACCTTGAGGTTAGCAGACCAACTCATAACCACTACGCTACCAGAGCTCCTTAAGTTAACTACAAATTAGGTATGAGTTGCTAAAAGTTTTATAATTTAAAACTTGACAATGCAAAGAAATTTTGTCAATAAGGATGGTTAAAGTAGTGCTACCAGGTAGTAATAGAGTAAGCACAGTTTCCCTTTGAAATTTTAAATTTCTTGATGGATATTAAATGAGGACTCGTGTTACTGAAAATTTGCACATGGTGAGATTTCATTAAATTCATATTGTACTATTTCATTTACATAAAATATGAGCCCACTTGTGGTTTGTTGCTGTAAGTGACATAATCCAATATCTTCAGGCTTCTGAAAACTTGTTAGGGAAATTGTTTAGCATTATGGAATAAAGGATGGATTGAGAATCAGAACACTCAAGTTCTAGTCTTAAGTTCCCTTGGGCTGTTGGTAATTATTGAGTGTCTTCATTTTCTTGTTAAGTGCCATCGAGTAGATCCCAACTCACAGTGACCCTATGCACAATAGAACAAAACACTGTCCGGTCATAATTGTTATGCTTGAGCCCATTGCTGCTACCCCTGTGCCAGTCCATGTCATTGGGGGCCTTCCTCTTTTCCGTTAACCCTTCACTTTACCAAGCATGATATCCTTGTCCAGGGACTGATCCTTCTTGACGATATGTGTGAAGTATGAAAGACGAAGTCTCACCATTCTGTCTTCTAAGGAGCATTGTGGCTGTACTTCTTCCAGCACAGATTTGCAGTCCATGGTACTTTCAATATTCTTCTCTAACACCTTAGCTCAAATGCATTAGTTCTTCTATAGTTTTCCTTTATGCATTGTCCAACTCTCACATGCATATGAGGCCTTTGAAAATACCATGGCTTGTATCAGGTGCACCTTAGTCCTCAAACTGATATCTTTGCTCTTGAACACTTTAAAGCGGTCTTGTGCAGCAAATTTGCCTAATGCAATGCATCATTTGATTTCTTGACTGCTACTTCCATTAGTGTTAATTGTGTATCCAAACTAAATGAAGTTTTTGACAACTTCAGTCTTTTCTCCATTAATCATGATGTTATGAGTTGGAACCGACTCGACGGCTTAACATTTATTGTTCCAGTAGTGAGAATTTTTATTTTCTTTACATTGAGGTACAATCCATATTGAAGGCTGTGGTCTTTAAATCTTTCAGTTTAAAATTCTGTGAATCAGAATTTGGGGGGCTTGACTTAATTTTTATTTCTGTATTGACAGAACAACGTATTAATTTCAATTTTTAAGGAAGCTCTTGTCTCTGTCATTATTCCCATAGGGTTTTTGTTTACCCTTGGTATTCTCATGAATTCATTGCCTCTAACCTGTAAAGGCATATGAGTCTCTATCTAATAAGCACCAATTACCTGCATTCTAGGAATCTGGCAGGGTGTTTTATTCCTTCAGTCCCAAATCAAAAATGTGGCCTGGTGTGCCACAGTAGGATAAGCACTGGACCACAAGGTCAGTTTGAACTGCAAGTTTGATGGTTCAAACCCACCAGCCACTCCTCAGAAACTCTATGCAAGGTCACTATGAGTTGGAACTGACTGAGTGGCACTTGTCAATAACAACAACACTAGAGGACTTGGTGTGGCACTGTAAGATAAGCATGGCACTGCTAACTGCAAGGCTGGCAGTTCAAACCCACTGGTCTGCTCCTCTGAAACCCTATACAAGGGTTGCTGTGAGTTGGAACTGACTCAGTGGTACTTAATAGCACCAGCAATTAGAGGACTTGGAAGCCAAATCTCTGGTTTTGTATTGACCTTAATTTAGGTTTTGTTCTCTGTTCTTTTCCTTGGTTTGATATTTGCTTCCTAATTTACTTTGAATGTCTCTTATTTGTATATTTCAGATATTCTTAGAGGCAGTTTAAATCACTTTAAGAAGTATATTCTGGGTTAACCTAGATGATAAAATCATGTGGCAGCTCATTTAACTGTCTGGCCTCACTTTGTTCATCTGTAAACAGAAAATTACAAAAAAGTTAATGTGCCAATTAAAATTGTTCAAATTAAATTAGATTTAATTAAAAATCAAATTGTTATAACAATTTTAGGTAATAGCTTTGTAATTGTAATTTTCAGAGGTCATCCAAGATTTCAACTTAATTCTTCATTTTATAGATGAGGAGACTGAGGTTTGGCACCATTTACACATTTATCCAAGGCACAGTTAATAAGTGGAAAAGGCTAAACTTGAACTTTAACCTTTTGATTAAAATATTTTCATTCTTGAATAACCTTTTTGAGTCTTTTAACTATCATGTCTTAATGATTTCTGTATGGTATAAAAGGCATCTTACTGGATTTATATATGAGGTAAAACTTGGGTGACCAGACAATGTTTTGGTTGACAGAAACCAAGATTTCAAATAATTAGCATAACTGGACTGATAGTAAAATGCTGAAATTTAACAGGGACAGATAATATGTTAGGATAAGAACTCAAAGGATTTTGAATTCTAGTACAATGTGAACCAAAACACAAGGAGTTTTAAATTATTTCTACAACAGTAGGAGTTTTAGAATAAACAGTATATTGTTATAGTAAGCATACCTGATCTGGATTATTTCCATAATCAATTCTAGTACCACCGTAAGCAAAACATTGAAAGACTCAAGGCTGGTCAGTCTGGCTGAAAGTGAGAAAAACTATATCCCTCGAAGAGGTAAAATGTACATTGAAAAAGAAAACTTTGGCAAGATGAGGGAGCAACAATAGAAACAGAAAGTAAGAGTTTTCTTTTTTAACGTGAAAGAATAGAGCTAGGACTAATAGGTGGATGAATGTTACAGGGAGACAGACTTAGTGAAGGAAGAGCTTTCTGACACTTGGAGCATTTCTAAAATGAATGAATTAGCTTGGGAGATAGTGCCTCTATTATCAGGAGTCAGGGGGGTTAGAAGATTCCTGTAGTTACTGGCCAGCTTTGAAATTTGATGAGTTCTAAGGTTTTATAAATTCTATAATTCTAATCCTTCTTTTAGAGTCCTGGTGTGCCTCTGTAGGATAAGCACTAGTCAGTTTGAACCACAAGGTCGGCAGTTCAAACTCACCAGTCGCTCCTCAGAAACCCTGATTTGATGGCACTTAACACAGTCCTCCCTCTTGGGAACATGTAATAGGAAGAACCTAAAACAGCGTATCCCAAGTTTACTTTCTTATAGAGTACTTTAAAAACCATTTGGCTGTCGTGAGGTATTGAAGGTTTGAATTATAACAGGGAACAAAACAAAAATGGTTCCATAAATAATATCCCTCAGTAAATGTTTATATATTTACTTATATGACTCTTATTTTCCCCGTTACAGAATAAAAAAAGCAAAATGTTATGTATTAAAATTTAAGACAAAAATCTATAACATAAAACCAGTTGTAATCAAGAGGAAACGGTATACTTCAACTCAATAATTGGTAAATCCTACAGTGAAAGTCATACACTGCTGCATACAGCACCTCTCATATGCCTTCCTGGCATTCCTTGGATACAGCATTTATTCCTAAAAGGCAGGTCTTCATATGATAAGCACTGTATGACTAATTCTTGCTATTTTTAATTATTTTTAGAAGAAAAATCTAGATCGGTTCTTTTTTTCAGAGTACCTTGGGGGCAACACTGGTATCTTTTACAATAATTTGGGAAGTAATGTCCTAAAATGTTTACCAAGTACTTTGTAACTTTTTTCTCAAGTATCTGGACATTGGCACATGACTAGCTAAAATCATTTAGTATTGGTATGTATGCCCTTAACTTTTATATATAATATGCCTTGTTTTATTAGTACCTAAATAGGTTTATAGTTTTTCTTTATTGCTATAGTTGGGACTCTTTTTTTACTTTCTTGGTTTTAATTTGTGAAAGCCAGTTTCCATGTGCCTCTATCCCAGTGTAGTGAATAGAGAAGAAAATGTTAAAGTGTGCTGTCAAGGTGTATTGTACTGTGCAAATATATACTAGAGTTCTGAGGACTTGAATATTTCTGCTTCTAAGCAGCAGTAATCAGAAAGATGGTGACAAAAATGAAGCAGTATTTTCTCTTTATAGCTATAAAGAGATGTTAAGAGGGATTCTTAAAACCAGGACACGATAACCACCATTAGGAACTGAGAAAACTATAAACTGCTTAATTTTTTTTAAACTATAAAAGTTAATTCTTTATTTGTATCTCACAGCAAAAGTTCAAACAGATCCTCCCTCAGTTCCAATATGTGACCTGTTTCCTAACGGTGTGTTTCCCAAAGGACAAGAGTGCGAGTACCCACCTACACAAGATGGGTAAGGATCATAAAATAATTTCAAATTTGACTTTTGAAAGTTTAGCAGTGATGCAGATTTTATTTTTCTCAGGACATTGCTCCATTAAATTAAAAGCTTATGAATTTATTGTAAAGAATATATAGTAGAAGCCCTCTTACCCAAAATGATTAGGACTAGTAGTAGATTGGTTAATCAAAACAAAAGTATATAGTGATCATTAAAAGTAAAAATCTTCATAGATTAAAATAAATGTTATATTTATTCATTGATCTTAATATTTGAGCTTAGATTTACATTGGATCTCTATATTTTTTTTTTCTGTAAAGTGTATCCATAATACATTGTTTATTATTTCCAATTTGGGTTTGCATAAAAAGGAACAGGAACTGAGTAATTTAAGAACTGACACCTAAATCTTTACAGGGTTGTTTTTGAACCATTTACAATTTTATTTATCTGCATGTAATTTAACAGTATTTTTTGGTGATTTGCCTTAATTAGAAATTTTCAGTACAATTTAGTTTCATAGAAACAATTATAGTACACAATTATATTAAGTACAGTTCTGGGAACAAATTCACCTGATTCTTGCAAGTGTTCTGAGATCAGTTGACCAGAAGTACATAGAGATAATGTACACAGTGGTTGTGAAAGTTGGAACCAAACTATACTTTTCAGCCCCAGCTGATAACACCAAAGAAGCCAACCTATGGTAATCCTCCTCTTCCCTCCATCCTCTGGTTGGAGGTCAAACAACACAAAAATGCCACTGAAAATATAAAAATAAACATCCTATCAGTAGCTTTCTTAACATTTATCTATGTAACCACAACAAGACCACACACAGATGAATACAAAAATTTGGATTGTTTCTCTAGTATTTGTTCATTTGCTTCCTTGGCTTTCCATTAAATGTTTCCTCTGTTCCTATAGTTTCTGTAAATTGAAATTAGGTACAACGACTTGATTCAGATTTAAAATTTTTGACAAGGTCATATCGTGATATTGTGTACTTCATACTGTATCATAGTTGCATTACATGCTATATAAATATATCATATTACTTTACTAGAGGTGCAATGGGTAAGCACTGAACTATGAACCACATTGTTACTGGTTTTAACACACCAGCCACTCTGTAGGAGAAACATGAGGCTTTCTGCTCCCACAAAGATTTTTAGCTTTCAGAAACCGTATTGATTGTGATTGTGAAGTGCCGTCGAGTCGATTCCGACCCATAGCGACCCTATACAGGGTTTCCAAGGGTGTAAATCTTTACGGGAGTAGAAAGCCTCATCTTTCTCCCGCGAGCGGCTGGTAGTTTCTAACTGCTGACCTTAAGGTTCGCAGCCCGATTCGTAACCACTACGCTACCAGAGCTTACAGGGTCACTATGAGTCAGAAGCGACTCAACTGCACTTAACTATATTGCTATGTTTGATCACTTGGTTAATATGACTGCCAGCTCTCACTTTCTTAAAGGGACTGTTGTTTTTTGAATGCATTTTCAAGTAATTTGTGGGTTCTAGATTGTCATTAGGCTATGTTTTAATTGACTTTCACTTAATTGTTTTAATGCTTTATGATTTTTTTCATTGACTGTAAAATGATGAATTTCTAATTCTTTCATGTCTTCTGCATTTATTAGCTGTAAGAACAGTTTTCCCTCATCAACTAGGGACCAACTATATAGTTAATCCTTAAAGGCAGGATCAGTGATTTTGAATTTTTCCCTCTTAAGTGCTGGTTTTCAGAGGAAGGAGTTGGTGTCATATTTGCATACATTTAAAGTCCTAGTGTGGCACTGTATGATAAGCACTAGACTGCAAGGTTGGTTTGAACCACAAGGTTGTCAGTTTGAACTCACCAGTCACTCCTAAGAAATCTTATATAGGACATTATGAGTCAGAATCAACTAGAAGGCACTTAAACATTGGTTAAAGGCAATACATTGTTTAAATAGTTTTTGTAAATATGGCTTAATTTAAAAAACAGCAGTTGTTTTTTACTTTAATCAGCCTTCTAAGATATAATAGAACTGCTCTTTTGAATTTCTGAGACTCCGTCTTTATAGAAGCAGACAGCCTCATCTTTGTCCTGCAGAGCAACTGGTAAGTTTAAACCCTACCTCTCCAGTTAGCAGCCCAACACTTAACCCACTGCCCCACCAAGGCTTCTTTCATGTAGCATATTGTTGTTGTTAAGTGCTGTCAAGTCAGCCCAACCCACAGCGACCCTGTGTAGGGTTTCTGAGGAGCAGCTGGTGAGCTTGTAACAGCTAGAAAAACCTTGTAGTTCTAACTGCCTTTGCAATCCAGTACATTAACCCATGTTTTTGTTGTTGTTAGGTGCCATCGAGTTGGTACCAACTCATAGTGACCCTGTGTACAACAGAACAAAACACTGCTCGTTCCTGGGCCAAACTCAACAGTTGTTGCCACACTTGAGCCCATTGATGCTGCCACTTTGCCAGTCCACCTTACTGGGGGTCTTCCTCTTTATCTCTGACCCTCCACCTTACAAACATGATGTCCTTCTCCAGCAACTAGTCCCCATGTAATATGTACGAAGTATGAGAGATGGAAGTTTGGCCATCCTGGCCTCCAAGGAGCATTCTGGCTACACTTCTACCAATACACGTATTTGTTGTTGTTGTTGTCAGGTGCCATCGAGTTGGAACCGACTCATAGCGACCCCATGCACAGCAGAACAAAACAATGTCCAATCCTGGGCCAACCTCACTACCACTGCCACACTTGA